TCTGCCGTGTTAACTCAAAAGTCACTTTCGTGAATAGATTCGAGATTTAGGAATCCAAACTTACGAAGTCAGGAAGTTGAGGATTACCGATCAAATAAAGTCCAAAGTAACTCCAAAAAGTCGTGAAAATTTTATCAGAAAATGGTCCCATTTCAAGACATCTGATGAATTAGTGAGTAAGCTGGATGTTAACGAAAACGTTTGAGCTGACGTTAGTAAAAGAATCAAAATAATATTTCAAAAAGAATTATAAGAAATCAAATTTTGGATCTGACAGGGAAATAACAAGATATTCTTCAAAAAGAAAATATGTTACGCTAAGATTCAGATAATGATGTAAATACGAAAAAAAAAAAATAGAACGCCAGAAAAAATTGAGAAAAATCATATGTGTGGAAACGGTTATCATTTAATCTAAGCCAAGTCCGATAGTTGTGAAGCAAGCCACCGGTGTATGCAAAACAAAGCAAAAGAAGGATAATTTAGAAATCAGCAAAAACAGTCATAAAAATTAAGTCATTGTTGCTTAAGTAAGATCCTAGCATTTAAATTTAAACCTCAACGAAAATATTGTACGATAATATCTACAAAAAATAAATATTTATGTCAGCGGAAAGAAAATTGACACTATAGTTGCTTTAAGTGCACAAACATCGATTCCGATTATTTCTTTTCTGTCATAACTATAGGAAAAAACGAACTGAAAAATTCATTAATACCAGCTTTCTCGCAAGGACTTGATAGCTGAGTGACTAGTACTCTGTGACACAGGTTTCGAGTTCGACTTCCGACGGTGCCGTGGATGTTTGTAGTGGTTCAGAACCCACTTTAGGTCCCGTTCTAATATGACTGTTGGACGTAAGGCTTATAACCTACCCTGTAAAAAGAGAAACCATCTAATGTGTCGAAATCTGCCAGTTGGTAAACGGCTCACCATGGGCTGTAGTGGCAGGGAGTTAGCTTTCTGGCAACGAATTGAAACCGACCTATTCGCTGTTTCAGTTTACCATAAGAAAATCTAACAGATATTTCATCTTAACAGATGAATTTAATGTGCCTTGTTTAATTACACCTGAAGTGTATTGGTCAACCCTGAAGAAGAGGTAACGATATTTATTTCTGTTCAGCCAGACACCAAAGATAAAGGTTGAGTAAATCACTAAAGAATACTACTCCTATACCAAAGGCTTAATGCCGCCAGCAATCGGCGCAATCTACTCCTCCACGGAATGCAGCCTGATGGCCAATTTGCTAGTACTCTGGCATTTGGTACTACATGCTTCAGATTCGAATCCTGGTGGTGGCATGGATGATTGTGAGTGGTTCGGAATCCACATTAAACTGTAGGTCCCGGTCTAATTAGCCTAAATTATGCAAAAAAGGACCGTAGAGCGACAAACCTCCGCGGAATATCACGTGATACATTAGGATGGAGTAAATTTTAAAGAAAATCAACAGAAGTGTGATTCCTGAAAGCCGCGTGGAAAACCGCTGAATTAAAACAAAGCAAACTATTTTATTAATGATAGAGTTTTGTTCCTTAAAGAAAAAATTTAAGAAATCTTGTTTTTCGATTACTTTTCCACAACAGAGAAGAATACAAGTCATCAAATTTTCACATGGTTTTTCAAACCACCTAAGCGTGAAAGAAACTAAAAAAAAAAAAAAAAAAACAATATTATTCTTATTAGCCGGGAATGACTCACAATATTGAACATTTTGTAAGATTTTCAAACGATGGTAACTCGAAACACTTGAAAAATATGCTAATAAAATCTCTATTTCACTTGTTTTAAGACCAAGCTTACCATTTGATATAATAAACATTGATATAAATGACCCTACATATCTATCATTGGCAAGAAAACTTTAGTATGTAATGTGCTTGATAGATCAACATTCCATATGTCCTATTCCTCTAAGAAAGTTAAACAATTAAATTCAATATATGATGCCTTACAAGAAGTTTTTATGTAAACAGGAATATTCAATGTGATAGCTAGTGATTAAGACTTAATAAAATTTAACATATTAACAGCATGGCAAATGATATAACAAATAAATGTTCGAAGTTTCTACAATTAATGTTGCTAACATTCTACAATTATAGATACTATTCAGAAATGCAAATAAATGCAATTTTCAACACAATTCACAACAAAAAAAAAATACGTAAATATTATTATAAGTATAATCATTTTGCATTATAGTATTATTAATTGCTATATGTGAAATGCTACGTTTAAAAGTCCATATAGTGTTTTAAATATAACAACTCTTATAGGAAAAGTTAGGGCCGGATATGCGTGTGGTCATGATTCAGTGTTATTTATGGATTCAAATTGATTATTTCACAAAATAATTACGCGATGTTTATTAAATTTTGCTAAGACAACTGACTGCACAACCACAGCATATAACACACAAAACACAGTTATCTTAAAAATAAGCTCATTTAAAATTTTTTGTACCTTCCGTACTGCCTAGAACTCTTCACTCCACTCTGCACACTCCCTTTGCTCTTTTTCTCTCTTCCATTATCGGTTCCAAAGTCTAACGGAAGAAAAAAAAATGTGCAAAGTAAAAGTCTAATGTTGGCGTCAACCCGTCCTTGAAAGAAGGATCTATCGACCTTACCTTAGTGAACTTTTCACTGTCCGCTTTATAATTTGTTACGAGAATGCATGGTAGATCCTTATACTTATTCTCTCATCATTTTCATGTATTAATTACCTCTTGAATACAACTAATAATCCATGAAGGTGCTTAACTTATCTTCTTTAACCAACTCGAGCGATCCTACTTTAACATTGTTTTCCTCAAATAACCATTTACCTCATTATTCAAATAATCTATACAACATTCTTTTTTCAAATTATTTGATTAATTTTAATTATTTTTGCCAACATGCAAGTATACTGTATGAAATGTCTGAAATACAGGATTGAAGAATACTAATATGGCATATCAAAAAATGACTAAATGTTAAAAGTTTCGACATCATTTGGATCGAAAGAAAGAAGGAAAAGATGCTTCCTACTACTAAAATTCCTACAATTTGGTTCATGGTTAGCTTCAATCTCTTCTAATGTCAATTCTGAATTTCCTGCAATTCTTTTCAAATGATGTTTGAATGATTTTTACACCAGCTTCCCATATACAACCAAAAAATTAGGTGACCTGGTTAAAAGGAATTTTCAACGAATGGATTCAGCAATAAGAAATGATGCCAAATGAACACTGGAGTTTTAACAAGATTATATATTTCAGAATTGGCACTATCGTAGCATTATCGGAATATATGAAAAATCAAACATCTTGCGAAAAATCTTTCAGTGAGTCGATCAATGCATTACATGTTAAATCTGTTGCAATTCCTAAGCGAATTACATGTGCCGTAAAACAAAAATTGCCACATATAGTCTATTGAAAATACCTTTATATTTGGTTCCTATATTTAGTGAAGAAAGGATCACATAAATCAATTCCGGTTTTGGCGAATAAAGAACTGAATGTAATTCCTTCTTCAGGCAAAGATGTTCCGCAATTTTAGGCATGTTTTTAAAGCAAACGACACAATTATGCACAGTTTTGCGAGCAGTATTTCTACCGTTAAACAGGCAAAATTCTTGTCGAACATAATAAAGTACTGTTTGAGCAACGGAAACGTTAAAAAAATAAAGTAGTTAATTTATGATCTCTAGGTATTAAAATCGGATGCTTTTGGTCATTGGACAGATTCGAATAGTTTATTCTGCCACCCTTTATGAGTATTTTATTGTTATTTAAATTTTTATGTGAATATCCTTCAATTTCTTTTTACTCTGCAAACTATTTACTTCCTTACTGAGTACTATTAACTAAACTGATTTAAGAAGGGTCAGTTTGGCATTCTCGGGTAAAACATCCTTGTATCTTTTCCTGTTTTCAACAATTGGAAATAAACAAAAGAAAAAATTGTTACTTTAATTGAGAAATTTTTTAACAAAATCATCTGCATTAATTGTTATCTCAGACAATTTACTGGGACTTGAGAATCGAAGGTCTGGAAAAACCATAAGTCCAGAGAATTCACTCCCCAAGAAATAAGAGTCAACAGGATTCATTGATGAGGGGATATGTCAGCACTGAAAACACTCCGATAAAATCTAAATTTTTGAGACTATTTCCAACAAATGTTTTTAACTGGTTAGGAGGCGAATTGATCCAAACCAATGCTATTGTTAAATCCGAGAATATGGTAACTTAGACAATTTCCATTTTTAAAGATGTGAACATTTTATGAATTATTGACAAGTAGAAGACATGCCCAATCAGGGTACTGTAATAGTTTTAAAGCGCATTGAATATTTTGTATGAAAGCAAGTCTACAAGTCATTACTCGTCTGAAATATTTTAAACTGATTGACTAAAATAAGAATCATTACTGTGTATAAGAACTATATAACATATAATTGTATACATCGCAGAAATATTGGAAATATTTGTGATAATATTACTTTCAGAAAAGATAAATGTGATCTATTTTGAAACATCAAGTTTTAAATTATTTTTTTTAGATAATGTTCATCTGCAACATTCCATGATGCTCATCAAAGCTCTTACAAATGCGGGTGTATTGTTTAGAACGCAAGTAAGTACATTATGCGTAATATTTTTAAATGTTTAAATCTTTTCTTTCAATAAAATTTACTTTGTGGCATTATGATATGAAAAAACTCAAAAGTCCATTATATTACTATACTTCCATGACACGTTTTCATTCATTTTTAGAGGCATCGCAAGTACTCGATGATATGATGAATTCTTAAATAGAAATGAAAAGCAGTATTATTTTTATTAATAGAGTCTACTACATAATTTACAGACTTATTAAAATATATTTCTAATGTCAGTTGACAATGCTCAGTATAAATTTGACAATATAATTTAACTGGTTTTCTAAAAGTTTTAATTATTTACACATACAGTGCTTAATTTAATCATAACTAGACATAGCCAACGGCCGTACCATGCTGAATATACCGGTTCTCGTTAGATCACCGAAGTTAAGCATCATTGGGCGCGATCAGTACTTGGGTGGGTGACCACCTGGGAACACTGCGTGCCGTTGGCAAATTTGGGACCTGAATGGCCGAGTGTCTAGCGCTCTGGCGCTCGGTGCCACAGGTTTCGGGTTCGAATCCCGGCGGTGCCATGGATGTTTGTAGTGGTTCGGAATCCACTTTAAGCCGTAGGTCCCGGTCTCCTATGACTGTAAGAGCGTCACGGAGCAAAAGTCAGGCTTCTACCTACGGGTGCTCCATCACAACAGAAGCTGCTTCCTTCCCCTTCAATCATGAGTCCATATGGGCTCGTGGGCTTGGCCAGCCAAGTGGGATAAGAAACAACAAACATAACTAGACATAGAAAATCATAGATAAGAGTTTTCGTAAATGGCCTAAAAAAAAAATATAGCTTGGTCTCAAATTGGTTGAAAGTCCGAAGGTAAATAACAAATTGAAATAAAAGATTGAGTTCATTTAATGCCATATTATAAGATTTCATAGAACTATTGGGGGATCTTTGTGTATTCTGCATTAATTTTATAATCATACTTAAAACTTAAAAATACTTCTCTGAATTTCTCTGTCTATTCTAAAAACTGTACCATCAAGTGGATTCCTTCATTCCACTGAACGCAAAAGTGTTCGTTTCTTCCAGTGGCGTTCCCTTAAGCTTCTAATCCATAAAACCATAAAGCTTATAAATCACTTCATAATTGAACAATCACTCATCATAATACATAACTCGTCATTGGTTCCCAGTGCCACGGCAATTGGGAATGAATATTCCAAAAGGAGACATCTGAAGCGCATATTACTCGGGCTCATGCAATAGGTTTACAATATGCATATCCAACTCGCAGCTCAGTGGAAACGTGCGCCACTGATGAGCATTAAGGCTCGTTCCCACCGAGGCGTGAGGCGGCGACGCATCACGCGGCAGGGAAGAAAATTTTTTCGACCCGTTCACACCGAAACTTCAGAAATCGCATTACGCCTAGTGAAGTTCCAGTTACTTCTACTAGATGACAGATCTACTACTGGCTCAATCCAAGTTGCATGACGTGACAAGCATTTGAGAATTGAAAGTTGATCAACTTGAAACGGTGGATTTCGACCGGTTTCAGGCGAACGCTGTGAGGCTAGTGATTGGTCAACGCTTCACGCTTCAACGCCTCGGTGTGAACCAGCCTTTAGGGCTGAGGTCCATTCCGCTTGCTGTTTTGTTGTAGACACTGTTTCAAAAGACTGTATGTGATGCTCAGGATCTTACATCGTTAGTCAGTCTACCTCGTGGGAGTTTTCCGGGTATTCTCACATACGCAAAAGCTCAGTAGTTATCTCTAAAAGGCTTACCGGAAGGTATTGACCTCCTTCTTCAGCGACACGAAGATAAGTCAAACTTCTACCAAGGAGCGCTCCATCACAATTGAAACTCCCCGTGCCCTCACTCCTTCCATGAGAACACACGGGTTCATGGACTCGGACTAGATGTGGCTGTCGATCAAATGGGATAAGAAATAACGACATGCATGACATTCGAAAAACTTGTATGCACTGGAAAAAGTAATGCAACCGCAAAGTACGTCATTCAATCAGCCCTTTAAATTATTGTCGTAGTAAAATTGAATTTCCACTTTCTTGATCAAGTGTGGCATTTTTGTGACTGTGATTTCGTTTTGCAAGTGATAGGTACATCTCCTGCCATTTGTTTTGCTTGCATTGATAATTTAAAAAATAGAATTCTAATAAAAATCTTCTTTGGGATGTAAATTCAAATGGTGATTGTGTCCTAAAATTCTCCAAACTTTGACACTATTGGTAGCGAAAACATTTGGAAATATAACTTTTCATAAATATTTATTTTTCCCTACCTGAAAATAATATTTTTAAGACATATATAAATGTAAAATGAAAATCCTTCTCGTGGCCCAATGGTAACCATTGCAACAACTAGCATGTAGACGGGTTTAGGGAGGGAGGGATATCCGCTGCAATCAATGCTTTCAGTAACTTGGAGACTCGGTGGAGATTGGGAGAACGTATCCTTACGCACGCAGGCAACCTGGTGAGAATTTTCCAGGTTTTTTCTCGTACCACTACCTCTTTTCTCCAATGCAGTTACCTCCTAAATATCTTTCCCTCATTGATGAGTTCTCATAGCATACACCAATGTTCAACAAAGTAAGATGAGTTTCTATATCAAATATACGATGAACATCCTCGACAAATTTTATTTGGCAATTTCTTTCTGGAAGGTTGAGAAAGAAGATGGTCTAATTTGTTTCATGTACAATTTCTGGTGCAAAGTTTGGAAAATTTCAATGGTACCCATAATAAATTTTTGTAAACCTATGCCTTCTATTTTAGGAAAAATCTATACAATATTTCTTCTGTTTTATTTTCCAGATCTATCCCGATGAAAAGCACTCCCTCGTCAACGTGAAAATGCATCTGTATCAGACCATGGAAGACTTCTTGGAATACACATGCTTCAAATCTCCGGAACGACCCCCCATGGATTTGCACAATGGTAGATAGTTCACGGCACACTCGGACGACAATTCAACAAGCTTCTATAGCTGCCTGTGATGAAGCACACGTGATTTCAAAAGACTATCCCCAAAAGAAAAACAAAAAACTTTTTAAGATGAGATACGGTTCAGAAGATATATGGGTGATAATACCAGTAAAAGCAACGGTGGTTTGACGAGTTAGAAAATTGATGATAGAAGCACTTCTGTTTAATACCCAAACAAATTGTGTTTATGTGTAAATTTAATCATTTGCTTCATTTTTGAGTTAGTGAAAATGAATTGAATATTTTTTTAGGAGTAGGGGGGATAAATTTGTCATATAAATTTGCTATTACATAGTTGTTAACTCTATATTTTCGATTTTCTGAAAATTCTTGTGCATATAAAGTACTGAATCAATCCTACGATCAAGGTAAAATGCAAATAATCAATAATTTCCGCCATAAAATTAAGAATGATTTTTTAAACATACGAGAAAACATGATTTTCAGGCATATGGAAACTAACCAATCCGATTAATAATTTGCTAAGGAAAAACTTTTAATTTATAATTATATTTATTCTAAACAGCAACGTTATTGCATATATAAGGTACCCGTAAACAGTATGGATAAAATAAGAAGGGGTGATAGAATATATCGCGACGAATAATATTTGTAATGGGATTCTAAGGCCGCAATACATTCAGAATGTCAGAAATGTTTAAAGATAAATGTCCAAATTGAATTTGAATACAGAGAATCAACTAATTCATAAGTTTCATTCAGATTAGTGAAAGATTCAGAGCAGATGCTCAAAGTAACGTCCCAGTTCGCCATTGCTCAATTCATACCGCTGATAGAAAAAGTGGCTTACCCTTCTCGAAGATTTCCTCTATCGTGTTTATCTTCTCCGCTGCAACAGTGATTCTCACGACGAGTTCGTCCATGGAATCGTACAACAATTGTCTCTTGTGCCACAGTAATAAACTAAAAGATGGGAGATGTAAAACTCTTAAACGCATTTTGCACAGGTTTATTTTATTACTTTCAGTGTGAAGCAAACCGACTTTGCCACTTAACCGAAGGTCATGAACATCGTACGCTTTCGCTTAACTTGTTTGAGTGGAAGAAAAATCAGGCCATACATTAGATTGTCCTCCTTGGTTCGCACGAAATGGGAGATAGAACATAGTTTAGCTAGGAGGATAGAAGTTGCTCCAGCGTATACCGTGAAACTCGTTAAGTCCCGTCCAGATCAGAGTGCATGAAGAACGAATGGCTTTCATAAACAAATTCGACAAAATATCATGTGCTTCGATCTCGCACCAGCAAGAATCGTTTTTTCCCGCTCATTAAATGCAAATGATCCCAGTTGCGATCAGATCTCACTCACAGCCAGAGATAACTTGGGTTGCTTTTCGCGGTCAAACGGAGATCTTCGGATCGAAAGCCACTCGTTCTTCGTGTGCTCTCGTTCGGACGGGCCTTTATTTGAATGGAAATGACAATTTGCTTCATGTTGAGGGTACCGAAACAGGCTCGTCTGATAAGGGTTTTAAAGAACAACATTTTCTTCATTTGTCTTTTATTGGGCCCTTTTGAGAAAGAGCTGCAATTGTCCATACTCCGTATCCAGAAATTTTGAGTGTGATGTTCTAGAAACATGCTGCTATCAGAAGATAGAAGCGATATCTATTTGTAGATATTGAGCGTGTTCTGATATTACTCTTTTCTGACTGAATAAAACACGACCCTGGATTTCATTGTAAATAAAGTTCGTCTTGATCAATAGTATCACTTTTCTCATTTTATCCAAACAATTTATGGACACCCTAAATGTATTTTTCTTTTTTAATGTGTTGAATTTTTTTACTAGAAGTTGAGAGTTATGCTATTAAAAATGCATTTTTAAAATCACCAGTTAATAAAAAGATATATCTTGCTTTAATTAGTTGGTTACTAGCTTTTAACAATACATTACTTATAGGAATTTTATTAAAAAATTTAACTTTTCGGTAAATGTTTAAAATCCATTATGTCAACTCATTCATTCGTATGATCAATGAATTTTCTATTCAGTCTAAAGATGGTTTCAATACAAAAAGCATTTGAAAAGTTCTATAAAAAAAATGCTATGCTAGAACTAATTCTGTGCATTTTTTCGTAATGATGTTTCGTTCTAATATTTGATGAACCAGCTCATAGTTAGGGCAATTTCGTTTTCCAGAGTCATGTTCCTTTTATCTTTACTATATGCACAAGTTTTTACATTTTTTATTGAAATATTATATAAATTAAATACTTCAAAAGTAATAAATTCAAATTTTCGCATGGAGAATTAATTTTACATAAAATTGTTACATTTACAAATTAAATTACCTGAATAATACCCTTCTACAGAACGAAGGTAGCATGGATGTTTGTTGGTGGTTCGGAATCCACTTTAAACTGTAGGTCACGGTCTGTTTAGCCCTCGTATGCGCAAGATGACCGTAGAGCGACTAACCAAATCTACAGAATGGTGGCTTATGACTATTGCTTTGAATACA